TTAGTTGGGTTGATTGAAGAATCACTTGGGTTTTGTATAAACGTAGACATTGATTTTGACGAAGGTATTGAACTTGAAGGCCTTTGGTCCTATTTATAAGTAGTAGAGAATGTGCAACCTTGATCTTATCGCTAAGCTAGAGCAGAGGTAGACAGGTCATTTGACGCTAACAATGATTGTGATTCTTGGTTGGTGGCCTTCAGCTGTGTCATATGGCTTTTTGCACGATTGCTATAGGACATTAGCCTATTGGATGATGCGCTCATCAACATTTAAGGAGATGAGATATTCTCAGTTTTGATTGTTTACGTGGCAAACACACTTTGGAGAAAATGGGTTTGAGCTTTCGAACAGGTGTAGAGTGAAGTGAGTTAATCGTCCAAGCCCTATGATAGAACCCTGGATTAGGCTTAGAAGTTAATGAGCAGAAGTCTTGCAACTTTGTGTAAATAAAAATATATTGGCCCCATAGCATAACTTATGTTTATTTATGGCCTAAAACAACTTGATATGTATGTGTATATGTATATCTACAATGGCAAACGCGCGTGGTCATAAATGCAATTAAAAATGGATAGTGCCCATGGTTATAAGATATTTTACAACAGGCTTCTCGTGGTCCCACGAATCCATAACATCGTGCATTTCATTTCTATCACGATCAATGTTCTAAAAGACTCGCCTCGGGGCGCGTCTAGGCGAGCATGAAGGTGGGGCTGTAGCATTTTCGCCTCTGTTTTGCGGCAAAATACTCGCCTAGGCTTCTCGAGTCATGCCTAGGCACCTGAGGCATTGATTGGGTAAAAATAGGGATCTCTCTCTCCTATTAATTAAGCATAAAAATTAGAAAAAAATTATGCTTAACTAGGGTTGGTGTGGATTACATGTGGCAATTATTGGAAGGGGTGGTGAGCATACCCTATAATTAGTGTGGGTGAGCAAAAATGCACCCTTGTTTATATTATTTTCCTGACTATTCTCATGATTGGCCATAGAAAAAAATACATCTTTTTATTTGTATTATTATTTTAGTGTTATATATATATATATATATATTTTTAAGTCGTTATATTTATCATTATTCCCTTTTTTAACACTACCTATCACACCCAAATATTACCAACTCATGTGTGTGTGCGTGCGTATGCGTTCGTGTATATATATTAGCACGCACTTATGTGGATGTTTGAAATTGATTAATTTGATTACTTGATTAAACTTGGTTATGTGAGTTAAACTTGTTTATGACTATTTATACATATATATATATATATATATATATTATTTAAAAAATTAGGTCTCGTGAGACTCCGCCTCACTCCTCAAGACTTTTGCTTAGAGCAAGTCCACCCTTGTGGATTGCTCGGGGGACAAGCACCAGGAAAGGGCCCGAGGGCCGGTTGGTAGGCCTCCAGCCTTGGAGTGCCCGAGTGAGGGTGGGAGCCCGAGGGCCGAGGGGGTGGGGAGTCGACAGGCCTGTGGCCCGAGGCCCGTGACGTTAGGCCTGGGTCCGGCCTTTTATTTTTATTTTTTTGTGTCAGTGGTGATGACGCTTACGATCTTCGGGATCTCCGGTGATACACTTGACGTGAATCGCCGACGTAACGTCCATGAAGGGGTCGGTGGTGATGATGGCGAGCTTATCGTCGACAGAGAAGTCGACAGCCCTCGCCGGCGAGTCAAAATTGAAGGTGAAAAGCTACTAACCGGTCTAAACGTTCCACAGCTTGGCGGTCTGGTCAGCGCTGCCGGTAATGAAGCGGGCGGAGTCTTTTGATACATCGCAGCACCAAACGATGCAGTTGTGGTCACAGTAGGTCCCGAGGCGCTCGCCGTTGTTGGCGAACCAGACGGTGGGGTTGTGGTCCTTGGCGCAGGAGAAGAGGAGGTCGTCGTCCCTGTTGTATTTGAGGAAAGTTAAGGGCCTCTCGTGCCCTTTCATCAGTATCGTGCCCTTTTATTTTGTATTATTTAAACAAACAAAAAAAATTAATATTTTATTGCCTATTGCCAGGGGGAGGGCTCCAAGGGTGGAGATGCAAATGACAATTACTGTTCATTAATGGCAGTTACTATTCATTAAAGGCAGTTACTGTTCAATATGGTGGATTCAATAGTGGATTGCCAGGGGGGAGGGCTCCATGGGTGGAGTTGCTCTTAGGTGGGGCTATCCATCAAACGCCTCGCCCACACCTTCGCCTTTTAAAACATTGATCACGATACAAGCCCATGGTAGAAAACATGCATTTTTTTACCACGTTCAAATTCTTAACGGACAATACGTTCGTGGTGGATTTCGATCTACTACGGGCATCCACTGTGATAGATAAACTTTTGTCTTCTATCGATTAATGTATATGTATTTGTACATGGCTTGTACATTGTTTTGGAAAATGCTGTTGGGGACTAAAGAGCTAGGGTTCTTTAAACGTGGCACTATGAGGTTCCCAATATAATTGCTATATCCATGTTGATAACATAGGAATTAATAGTGCTCGCTGTACAATTTATGTATACAAATCTTATTTATATTTCGAATTTTATATCACAAATCTTAGTTATAAGATTCACATAATATATTTAACGGTCATGGTTCATATGGCAGGTATGCGGGCAGCTCTTGAAAAATGCTTGGACTCAAAAGCAAGATTCAAGTTAGACCCTCAATAGTTTTTAACAATAATTTAAAAGAAAACTAACGAAAAGTTCAAAAAATTTTAGTTAATGAAAAATGACAAATAAAAGTGTAGTGAATGGTATTAGGAAAAAGTAAAAATATGGTTTTTCGTTAAAAGTGAACAGTACCAGGAGTGTTTCGTTAAAACTCCCTAATTTAAAACCGTAACAGTACATCGTATGATGACTTTGCACTTCAACTGGTTTTATTTCGCATCGATTTTTAAAATTTTATATTAGCGCCTGAAAGTTTATAGTTCTAACAGTATAATTTATTCTCGATCACGCTCATTTTATTTGAAGAGTTCGACTCTCACTCTTTCATTAAAAACCAAAAAGAGAAAGAGAAAAACAAGGTTAGCATAATTGTAATATTGTAGGGTTTACTGTAACATGTTGATAATACTTATATAAAACTCAGTTGCTAGCTGTAAGATGATTGATTGATCCAATCAACGATGATCGATACAATGTCCCAAAGAAAGGTAATATTTATCAGATTTTTTTTTTTTTTTCATTTCATGAACATTATTCTAACATTCAAAAAAACTTGATCAATAAAGAAATCATAGCATTGAGGGGGACATGGACACTGAGGAATGCTCAGTGTGATAATGGATAATCAATGCATGAACCAGACATGCCTCTCATATCTTGTCCATTTTTTAAATACGAAATCTGCTGGAAAATTACTGAATGCTTCAAATTTTATATATACAGATTTCTAGAGGAAATAATATTGCCACGAACATCGTACCTTACTACTCCATGCTTAAAGGTTCCTCTCCCTTCTAATTTCTTATAATTTTCTTCAATTCTTTTTGGGATGTGATATCCACACAGCCCTTTTTACTTCTCTCACACCATTTTAATTTTCGGCTCTCGGATCGGATGAATTGAAGAAGATCAAAGGACAAAAATTAACAAAGGGTGTGGAAGAAGTAAAAATGAGTGTGTGGATAGCACACCCCTTCTTTTTTCCTTCCTCTGTAACTTTTCCAATTAATCTAGCATTTTAAAGCCAATTATTATAGAAGGAGATCTGAGCAGTAAATAACCCTTTTGTTAGAACACAATTTAAGATTCTTGACCTATGCCTTATTAGATTAAAAAAGATTATATTTATAATATAATAGAGAGATTAACAATGGATCCGCATGCATCTTTACTATTTAAACTTTCAAGATCAACAAATGAGCTGGAGATAATAGTACAGAAAAACTTATTGATTTAAGTTAATTTTTATCCACTATTACTATTTTTTGACAAAATGGTATTCTAATCTACTATAAACATCTAAAAGTGAGATTTAAACTTGAATAAAAAAAAATGTAGCACATTGTTAAGTATTAACTTTAACCAACTTAATTACGCTTAAATATGTTTATTATTACTCAATTTAACAGGAACAACGTCTGTATAGTGAATAACAATCTACCAAGCGGGCGTATACCATGGTAGATGAACTATTGCCTTCAATTGATGCTTAGATGATGCATTCAAAATTTTGAGAAGTTTCACTTATTTTCTATGAGAGCAAGTCCACTGGAGGACTTTTTGCCCAGCACCCAGCCGAAAAAATAGGCCAGGACCCAGTGAATTTGCTCCAGCCGACCCAATTGATTGGCACCCAGCCCATGCCAGTCTCAAGCTCAGCCCATTTTTGACTGACCAAGGTACACTACTAGAAATTTCCACTTTGCCGACAAAATTAGTTTGTCGGCAAAAGTCAAAATTCGTTGGCAAAGAGCCTTTCCCAACGAAAAATTTTGTCGGCAATTTTGTCGCTAAAAGCATGTCGCGCAAGATCTTTCTCGACGAATCTTGATATTTCGTCGGCTCATTTTTAAGGCGACAAATCTTAGCCGTCAAATTGTGCCCATCACCAAAACAACATTGCGACAAAATATTTTGTCAACATAGGTTGTTTTTTCGCGATGAAGTTATTTTTCGGCTGAGTGATCTTGTCGCGACAAAACATTTTGTCGGCTGAGTAATCTTGTCGCGACAAAACATTTTGTCGGCTAAGTAATCTTGTCGCGACAAAATGGTTTTTCGGCTACGTAGTCCTATGCCAACAAATTGGTTTGTCGGCTCAAATTACTTGTGTAGACAAAATAATTAGTTGGTTGAATCTTTTGTGAACAAAAAACATTTGTCGGCTAATTATTTTTGTGCCGACAAAACATGTCCAGTCCAATATTTTCTAATTTTTATTCGCATTTGTTTTTAATAATATTTTTAACCATCACAAGCAAGCAAGCTTAAGAGATCGAGAAGGGGCGTGAATGAAGAATTAATGTAGGAACAACACAAAACTCATGTAATATAAACTAATGTAAGGTTCACAATTCGGTTTAATTACAAAATACAAAAATATCTATGTTTTCATTTCGACATTACTATAATATAGATAAAATATCCTTAAGTATCACCATTCTCACTATAGTCCTCATCACGTTGATATGCAGCATCATGAAATCGGGAAACGATGACGATCATCATGAAACATTCCAGTATCAAACAACTGTAGAAGAAAAACAAATTAAAAAACTAGATTAGCAAATGTTAATGGTGCTAAATATCATTGACATTAAGGAACGCAAGGCCACACTAGATTGGTATTTCTAAACAAATAACTTATGAAACCATAAATGTGTAAACAACAAGATAAAGATATCTACTAATCAAGTTAACTTACCAACGCCATGCAACATCACAACCTAGCAAAATTACATGTTTAATAGATACCAGGTAATAATCAAGTTAGCATCAACTACTTATATGTCATTCATCACTGTAAACAACAAGATAAACATTATAAACAGCAAGGCAACATGATTCTCACACTCTGTAAACAAGGCAGCATGATAAATAAATGATATAAATCCTTGAAAGGTCTATAATTTATATAAACATAACAATACCAATCACCTAGCTAAGCAGGTTATAACTCTAGAACATAAGCATATGCACCTGGAAACATAAATAAACTTTACTAAAGCATCCTAATTCATCACTGTTTATAATCTTTATCAGTGTAAACAAGAAGATATAGACATCTACTAATCAAGTTAATCCTCAAATATCAAAATTACCTGGCGTGAATGATCCTCACACTGGTCTCCATGCCGTGTTGATACCAGTTGTAAGCTATCTAGCCCAGAATTCCATTTAGCCATAGACAACCTACAAGTGTTATAGGAAGGAAAAACAAATATGTCAAACCTAAACCACAATATCAAAAAATTACATTTGAAATCTGGTATTAAAGTCAAAGGACATTGTTTTCACCAATATTATACAAATGGATGCCCAAATCAACAAAAAATTGGAAATCTAGAAAATAAAACTCGAACCCAAATGAAATAGTTCAATTAAGAACATGTTTTTTATCCATATATGCGATTCAATCAAAGGAAATACAATTATTTCATTTTCCAATAAAAACATGGAAAACGAATACAAAAACAAACAAACAAGTTAGCAAATTAATGTGGTAAGGAAAATGCATATACAAACTGACGAAATTATTTAGACAAAAACACAATGAGCAAACTAAATACTGATGACTTACTAATAATCCAGATCACTACCGTCATCAGTAGTACTGCTTGAACTATCATCACCATGAGTCCATGTAGTATAATTGAATGACATTCCATATCTACCCAAATCTTGCTGAATTTCTCTCAATGACTTCAATCTACAGTTGTTACAATTCTGGCATGGGCACTTAGTATAACCCTCAGCGTTGACATGTTTGCTTGCAGTTTTCAAAAATTCTGAAATCCCATTTAAATATTCCCTACTCACTTGATTCGGATTTCGTATCCATTCCCTGTCCATGGCATATAAAGTATCTACTCCCTGTTTACATGTTTACAAATTTAATTTTACATGCAACATTCATTAGGACCAGCAATCAAACAATGAATAAGATAGGCTGAGGGTGACGGTGTAACAACATACCTTACCAAAGAAAGCAGCTAGCCTAGAATATAATCAGATTCTTCAGTATATAAGCCCAGCCTTGTAACCGCCCTCTATATAGGAAAATTGAACAAATTTAGAGAGATATATATATATATATATATATATATATATATATATATATATATATATATATATTCCAGTAAAAAAATTGAATGGAATTGAACTCAAATTCCACCAAGCCATATATAGTACCCGGCCACATCCCCCACCCTGCAGAAGGTAAAACAATTGCAGATGAGAATTAGAAGGGGAAGAACCCACAATATACTCGCAAAAGAATCGAAAAAGAAAAATGAAAACCCTAAGAGAATTACAAAGAAAACTGATGGGTTTATCCATCAGAAACGTAAATTGAAGATGACAATTAGGAGGGAAAAACCTTTTTTAGGCTTTGACTTTGACGATGGTTTCGATTTCCACCGGAATAAGGCTGTCGGTCTGTCTAATTGCAGCAAGGGAGATGGAGGTGGAGAGGGAGAGGGATAGGGAGAAGGAGTGGGACGGAGAGAGATGACCGCTTCGTGCGCCTAATTCTCCATTTTTTTTTCTAACTCCCCGCATCTATGTTGATACCGCTCTTTTATCCCGCGTGCGCCTCCTTTTAATTTGTTAAATAGTGTTTTCTTAAGTTTAGAATTGTGAGTGACATGCATGGTACATTCAAATAACACTGGCTAGCAATTCGTGCATTTAAATTTTGTGGTATCCATTAGTGTAAATATTTTAAATTAAAGATTGAATTCATTCCTTGTCTTCATATAGGGTCAAGGAGTGTAGCTGTAAAAAATCATCAGAATTGAAGTTAAAATAACCGTTAAATCGTGATTTTTCGTTGATAACCGTCGAAAAGTTTTGTCATGTTACTTGATCTCTGAATGTTTGTTTTTTGCAATTTTTGGCGTACGCGATCTTGAAGTATATACAAATATGTTTGACGGTTCGATCGTTGAAACTAGTTTTGTAGAATGCGTATCGCATCAAAACAATGGATTCACTAACACTTAAGAGTTTATTCATACTTTCATCAAGTATAACATAAGATTTTGTGCTATCCACTAGTGTAAATATTTTAAATTGAAGATCGAGTTCATTCATTGTATTCATATAGGGTCAAGGAGTGTAGCTGTAAGAAATCATCAAAATCGGAGTTAAAATAACCGTTAAATCGTGATTTTTCGTTTATAACCGTCGAAACATTTTGTCCTGTTACTTGATCTCTGAATGTTTGTTTTCTGCAATTTTTGGCGTATGCGATCTTGAAGCATATATAAACAAGTTTGATGGTTGGATCGCTGAAATTAGTTTCGTAGAATGCATATCACATCAAAATGATAGATTCATTAACACTTAGTTTATTTATACTTTAATTAAGTATAACAGAAGATTTTATGGTATCCACTACTGTAAATATTTTAAATTGAAGATCGAATTCATTCATTGTATTCATATAGAGTCAAGGAGTGTAGCTGTAAAAAATCATCAGAATTGAAGTTAAAATAACCGTTAAATCGTGATTTTTCGTTGATAACCGTTGAAACGTTTTGTCCTGTTACTTGATCTATGAATGTTTGTTTTTTGCAATTTTTGGTGTATGCGATCTCGAAGCATATAAAAACATGTTTGACGGTTGGATCGTTAAAACTAGTTTCGTAGAATGCGTATCTCATCAAAACAATAGATTCACTAACACTTAAGAGTTTATTCATCCTTTCACTAAGTATAACACAAGATTTTGTGGTATCCACTAGTGTAAATATTTTAAATTGGAGATCGAGTTCATTCATTGTATTCATATAGGGTCAAGGAGTGTAGCCGTAAAAAATCATCAAAATCGGAGTTAAAATAACCGTTAAATCGTGATTTTTCGTTGATAACCGTCGAAAAGTTTTGTCTCATTACTTGATCTCTGAATATTTTTTTTTTGCGATTTTTAGCGTATGCGATCTCGAAGCATATACAAACAAGTTTGACGGTTGGATCATTGAGTTAGCTTCGTAGAATGTGTATCCCATCAAAACGATAGATTCATTAACACTTAAGAGTTTATTCATACTTTCATTAAGAATAACATAAGATTTTGTGGTATCCACTAGTGTAAATATTTTGTGGTATCCACTAGTGTAAACACTTAAGAGTTTATTTATACTTTCATTAAGTATGTTAGGCACACGAATTTCATAATCTAAACCGTTCAAATCCACGAACATCATCTAAAGATCATACATACGATAAATCATTTGAATCGAATATTGTTTAGTCATCCAAATGTATGAAACAAAGGGACGGTGTTGGTACCAAGTAACAGATTCATGATAAACCGTTCATTTATTTGATTCATATACATTATCTATGAGCGGGAAGATCCCCGCCAAAATATAACAGGATATTTTTAAGGATTTTTCGTTAGTTTTCTTTTTTTTATTAAAGTGTAACAAGGTATATTTATATCTTTCGCCGAAAAATTAACCAAAAATTCATGTTTACATCTTCTATGATAATATTTCTGGTCTTTTTAAATTTCAAACATAAGAGCAACCTTATTAAGTAATAAAAGAAGCCACCACGTGAGCCGCTCGAATACAAAATTATGGAGACAATCGTGAGAGTGAGAAAAGGGAGAGAGATGATAGAGGCAGAGACGTGGATTAGAATCAGTTAAGAGTGCAAGAACCTTAATAAATAAACCTAGGGATAGAAATCGTCAAAATTGTTTCTGAGCGGGAAAGACCCCGCCAAATTGTTACAAGATAAATAAGAATTCTTATCAAACTGAAATCGGATGGCTCGAGCGAAGAATATGGGAGGGAAGTCATGAGCAATTGGGATTAGCATGCAATTGGGAGGGAGATCATGAGGCGACAAAATAGGATTAGCATGCAATTGGGAGGGAGATCATGCAATTGGGGGATGTGAACCGACAATTGAGGGATGCGAACCGACAATTGGAATAATAGAAATATTATGGGAGGGAGATCATGAGGCGGCAAAATAGGATTAGGCAGAATATGGGAGGGAGATCATGCAATTGGGGGATGTGAACCGACAAAATAGATTTGGATTGCCTTGGGAAATTTATAAGTTTGTTCTTATAATTATATGTTATGTTTTTAGAAAACTTGGCATGCTTGTCGAATTAGAATGGATGATTACGTAAAACCGTATTCAAATTTACAATTGTAATTGACTAATTGACTAATAATTGATCATAACCTAAACCAAGTTATCTGTTGCTAGAAAGTAGTTTGGATTAGAATTGATAGGAAGAACTTTTTCAAACACTCACATATTATGAAATCAAATTGTCAATATAGATTATTGATGGCATAAAACTACAATCCAGAAATATGAAATGCTAGATATCTCTTTATCTATGCTCCCGTTCGTATAGAGAAACAAGAAAGAGAATGATAGCATAAATAGTCACCAAGAGCTTTGATTGCGTTCCTCGGAAAAAAATGGAAAGGTGCACTGGTGAAAACCTCTCACGTAGAGTTATTATTACCTTGCCGATGACATACTTTATTGCCTCTCTAATCAATTTGCTTGCCAATGACATACTTTATTGCCTCTCTAATCAATTTGCCGATGAAATACTTTGTTGCCTCACATAATCGGCTAATATTTCAATACAGCGGGAAAAGTTCCCGCCAAAGTTTCCCCGTCAAAACAAAATTTGTCAGGGCATCGAATTTACGCCTACAAAATGATCGTCGGCTAACGTTCCAATTTTCTCGGCTAAGATTGGCATTGTAAATTGGTTCTAGCATGAGTATTCAGTCGACAAATTAAAATTTTCGTCGAGAAAGGACTCTTGTGCCGACAAAATTTTGCTTTGTCGGCTTATAATTTGTCGGCAAAATTATAATTTCTAGTAGTGGGACTGGCTTGTTTGTTTTTTTTTGCACTGGCGCGTGGCTTTCACGCTCGCGTGGGCGCGAGTAGGAGACAAGAAATCAGGCGGCGGGGCCCGCGCGCAGGCGCACTCAGACCACAACCCGGGCTTGGCGACGTGGCCCACTTGCAGCCGTTGGATTTCCAACGGCTAGTTATTCTAGACTATTGGATTTTCAACGGTAAAAAAAAATTGAATTTCACTTTTAAACTGGACCGTCCGATCACAGATCAACGGTCCATGCTTTTTCCCCCAATAAATTAAGAATTCAATTTTAAAAAATACAGAAACTTTTTAATAAATTTTAGATATTATTATTATTATTATTATTCTATTTTTTATAAATTCAGAAATTAAAAATAAAATTATTATTTTATAATTAAAAAATAATATTTTAATAAAATGGACTAGGCTATTTTTTGTTAGGGATGAAGATGCTTTGGCCTATTACTGTTCAATGGAGTCTATTACTGTTCACTTGAGTGGATAAATACGCTAGGTACTGACACAAAATCCTTAAGGGTGGACTTGCTCTGAAATGTTTATGGGCTCGAACCCCTCCACTACGCAGGCAGTACTTCAGTCTTGAACAAAAAAAAATAAAAAATTCATTGGGATTCATCCAAAGAAAATTTGACTGGAAACTAGAAGTCTGTTGTGGTCTATTTTATCTGACAGAGGGACTAGGGCCGGCGGCAGAGAGAGAGAGGAGAGAGATGTGTGTTTGTAGAATTGTAGGGGAATGTGTGTTTTGTTATCCCTCCTACATTGTGCCTTTATTTATAGTAGTAAAGGGAGAGAAGATATTCCTTCTTCTCCAAGTAATACAAGTTGTAATAGGAAAGGATAACTAGAATCAAATCTTATCTAGGATTTACACAATCATACTTAAACTAGGAATGTTTAGAACACTCCCCCTTGAGTGGGTAAATACTCAAGGTAGATTCAGCATCATGCAGAAGTTGAGGAAGTCGACTCGTTGGCACTGATTCCAAGGAACAACGCTTATTCTCAATAAGGTAGGAACTTGCATAAGTAGTAAGTCTCACTAAAAACCCTAAGGCTATGGCAAAAACCCAAGTAGGGACAAAATCCATAGTCTAAGGAAAAATGCGTGAGAAATGCAAAGTCAAAAGAAACGTCTACAGGACGTCATCAGGGATATGACCAGCCCA